GGAAAGGTTGGTCAACAGTGCCAAATGCTGAGTCATGAAGTCTAAGGACTGAGTAAATTCCATCAGAAAAGTACATTGTTGTTCTATTCTTAGGCTATAGGATGTACTGGAGGGGCAACAGATATGGTCTCCCTCAATGACTTCTAGACTTTTTGAGAGAAATCACATAAAAATTTCCTTGTACAAGTTGGACAACCTCACATAACCTTTAATGACTTAGTTATCACTTATGATTTCTAGTCTTATCATTATCCTGGATGTAAATATACATCCAAAGATAAATCCAAAATCAAACAACAATTTTTTAAAAAAACCATCAGTAGCTCTCTCTTGCCTCTATGATAAAATAGAAACTCCTCATCTTGGCATTTAAAGTCTTTTATAATCTGGGTCTAGCCTACATTTCCAGGATTATTTCACATTACTCCCCTTAACAAACTCTATATTCTAGACACACTGCTCTGCCTTCTCCTCCTCAAACTTGCCATTCTATCTTCTGCCTCCATAACTTTCTACCCATTGTCCCTAATGCCTGTGTTAACAGGACTACCCAATAAACCCAATTCTTATGAGCCTGTGCAGAGGGCACCAGCTTGTCTGGCTGATGCAATTTCCCATATGAGGAAACCCTGCTTCTGGGACAGTGGCGATGATGTTTACACATGGAGATGCCTTGGCGAGACTTTGTAACATAAGTAGACATTCTGTAACTGATTCATGTTGGCTAACCCCAGGGTGAATGGCAGTCTCTCTAATTGGCTTCAGTTGTGGAACAAGAACTAGAGGCATCTTTAAAAGGCCTTAGCTGGCCTCAGTCACTCTCTTGGTTGGATCTCTGCCTCCTTCATTGATGGCACTTGGTAAAGACAGTGCTGTGAGGGGAGAAGTATACAGTCTTTTCTCCACCTGAGGCCATCATGTAACCTCTAAAACAAGCTTTCATTCTCTACCTTGGGGATTGTGTTTTTACTGTAGGTGAGATTAATTTGGAGTCTCTAATCTTATGAGTTTCTAAAGGTCAAGAGAATAATCTTCCCAGAATCTGAGTTGATTGGTTTTATAGCCAGCCCAGCACATACACCCCCAGCAGGAACTGAAACAATGACCCATCTAGCAGAGATTCTGCATTTTGAGATGAACTTGGTAGAACCAATGCTATGTAGAAACTGTACCAAGAGTGAGCTCCCTCTCCCCAGAGACTGAAGTGGTATAGGAGAGAGTATGTCTTTGTATACCACAGGGAAAATGTTTGGACTTTTGTTATTGCCAATATCTTCAAAATAAATATCCATTTGTAAAAAGCTATTTGATGTTAATGAATTATACAGAACCGGAGTGCTAGCAACTCATCGTTAGCTAACATAATAATAGGAGGACACAATTGGTGGCATTTTGAATTGTGATGGCCTTAGAGAAGTGACATTCCAATCCTTCAGTGGTACTACTGAGACTCTGAGGGCTCTGGCCTGGCCCTAGGAGAGTGAGCCAGAGCGGACACACTACACTTTCATTTAAGTCTTTGATGAAAATGTTAAGCAACATTGAACTGTGGATAAATTCCTGGGGCATTCTATTAGAAATCTCCTTCTAAGTTGATATCTATCCATTAAAAGAGATCTGACCTGTGAAGTGCTCAGAGCTTTGCCCCAAGACATGAACATTTAAGGGGTCCTGACAGAAAGGTGATGGACTCGAGATGCAAAATGAGACATACATTTTTAGAGGTGGCCATTGTGGGTTTTTGTTTTACTTGACTGCACATGTTTGTTACAAGTTTTTGTTTTTGTTTTGTTTTTGTTTTTGTTTTTAAGGAGGAGGAGAGTGGGAGGAAGAAGTTGGGATAAGGATAGGGTTCCTCTCCCCCAAAAGGAGAAAAGAACTCATAAATAATCACAAATAAGCAGAACTCTGAAAATTACATTAAATTTATTGTATATTTAAAAAGAAAAGGTAAAATGTAGGTAATAGAGACCTACTGTTTCACATGTAATCCCCTCTTGTTCTATAATGTGTATATATATATATATATATATATATATGGAAATACTTATGGTATTTGGTGTTTAAGTTCAAAATAAAAATAAAATTAAATGTATATTTTAAAATAACAATTGACTGTGGAGTTGGAAAAACTGATGCCTCAGTGATTTCTGAGCCAAAACTGAGTGAGTATATGAAAGGAAAGACATGCCTTTCGATAGTCTTTTTCCTTTGAGACTGTGAGAGGAGGCAAGACTACACTGAGCTGCTTCCCAGTGTAGGCCCAGGGAAGAGAAGAGTAGTTGCTCTGATTCCTACCCAGACAATGATGGCTATGAATACAGGGCTGCCCCTATCTGTTAGTGTTTCTTCTCTGAGGAAATGACCAAGCAGCAATTTCAAGAAGGATATGTCCAAGCAATGCCTTTTAAATTTAAAAGAGGTGGTAGTGCCCATCAGAGTGGCACTGGCTAACATAACAGAAGGGAAAGCAGCTGCAGCAAGACCTACAAGATCACTGAAGATGAATAGATGTGAACTTCAAAGAAAGTGATCCCTCATGGCAGAAAGTGCTAACTATGAATTCTAGAAAGGTAGAGATCCTATGAGCCAGGTAGGTAGGAAGTAGAGAGCTACTTGGAAGGGAAACTTCATGAAGATTCCATAAAGGTAGAAAAGGACTTCCAGGGCCAGGAGTCGGAAGATACCTCTTTGCCTCATGTACTCTCTATAAATGTGCCTCACTACCATTGTACTCTAAACTTGATTACATTCTCCCCATGGCTACTATGTATATTTGTGGTAGAGTGTGCCCTCAGGTTTTGGGGAGAATGTTTTGCACCAACTGGTCTAACTATCTCTTCTTTATAAATACCTTTTCAAAATAGGCTAATTAACTTCTAAATGGGGATCGCACCAGTGGGGACTCATGAGCAGTAGTACTAGAAACCCAAACTTTCTGAATTATCCCTAGAACCCTGAGAGTAGTAAGTGGACCCCAAACCAAATGTAAGTGTAGATTAGAGAAATGGCTTCAGAGGGGGTGCTACACTAGGGATTCTAAGAAGTGAGGGTAAGGAGAAGACTGGGCTTGTGCAGTCCAATTTGGTAGTTATTGTTGTCAAGAGGGTGGGGGGAGAAGGACTGAACTATGGAAGAAGAAGGATGTAGCCTATGTAGAAAGAGTGCCCCACATATGTGGTGAGGGTTTGCCCCCTGCCTGTAGCTTGGGGGTGTTGCTGTGTGGCTCGAAAGGAGGCTCTTTTTCGCCCACCCCCCCCTTTCTCCAAGGGAGATTTTAACTTCTGCAGGAAGTTGGGAGGCTACCACTCTATTCTCCTCAGAGAGCGGTTACTGGGCTAGAATTACATCTATCTGATCCCCTGAATGTTGTTAGTCTGAAGTATATGATCAGGTTCAGTTTAACTTCTGATTGCTCTGTGTCATTATCAGGGAAGGGGAACCCAAGTTCTATATCCAAAGCTTGACCTCTTTCCTGCCGAATACCAGTTTCACAAAGAACACACTTAGTGAATAGCAAAGAAATCCATTTATCCAAACTGTAGTCATACAGAAATCTGAGAAGGCATACATAGGAGAATATATACTAGAGCCAGAGGTAGGGAACCTAGGGCCTCGAAGCCACATGTGGCCTTCTAGGTCCTCAAGTGCAGCTCTTTGGCTGAATCCAAACTTCAAGGCTGTACCTGAGGACCCAGAGGGCCACATGTGACCTCGAGGCCCCAGGTTCCCCACCCTAAAACCAGACAATACAAAGTGAAGGAGCTCTCCCATTGGATCTCACCCAAAAGGAAGCTCCCTGGTTTCTAATGTAGCAAACTGGGGATAGGGACATGATGGAGACTGCCAGCTCCTTCCATGTCTTCCCAGAGTCTTTTCCTTTAGCAACCTGGAGTAGGGTTGGCATCTTACATCTTCCCTCTTGAAGCTGGAAGCCAGAAATGCCCAAAATGAGTAGGAGCTGGAAGAGTCCCAAAGAAGGCTGAAGAAGGCTAGAGCTCTCCTGCTCTTACCAGTTCCATGTCCACCCTTTGAGAAGGGCAGAATATTTATCACCATCAATGAAGAAAGAGTCCTATACCGGTAGGACTTGGGACAGGGCTTCCATTCCTCCCCTGGACCAAAACTCTACAGTTCCTTGCAAAGATCAACTGGAACAGGTCCAAAACCTGTAAATAAATATACAGTATAAACACAAACATCAGTGTTTAAAACAATAAGGATGATTTTTCTGGCATCCCAGGTAATCATTTTTCAGTACCACTGAAACTAAAATTAAACAAATGTACATTTAACAGTACATGCAATAGACATAGCATTATACAGAGCATCACCTAGGAGGATACTACAGTGACAACATGCCTCACTACATATAGGACATATAACACATCTGTCCATATTATATAGCAATCATTCAAAAGCAATAAGCATTGCTAGTTAGCAAAGCAAAGCTAGCTACAGCAGTAACACATCAGTAGGCCTATATATAAAGTACAACTTATCTCTAAGCATTTGCATATATGTACAACAATTAACAAACACATTTCTATAGCATGAAAATCACACAAAACACAGTCAAATGAACATAACAACAAAATAAGAAAAACAAGCATACAGATATGTTAGATGTGAGAGGTAAAGGAAGGAGAAACTTTTTAAGTGATTCTAATTTTGGTACCTGGGAAGATGGTAGTGCTATTTCTCTGAGGAAAAGGATAATGATACTGAAGACAACATTGATGGGAAGGGGTGGAAAAGATTCATCGAGGCAGCTAAAGGAGATACTATAAGACAATTGAATAGATAGGTGAAGGGATCAGAGCCCTCAGTAAGCTTACTCTTCATTGTGACCCCCACTGCCTATCCCTATTATGACCCAACCCTACCCCTTCAGGAACTACATCTCCCTCCACATGGCAATCCTGGCTTCCTAGCTCTTGGCATGTGTGAGCTGTGGGCAGGGCCCGGGGTGGGGCCAGGTGACCCCGGGACCCCCCACCATGGCTGAGCAGATGCACTCTGGCCATAGGCCTGCAAGAAATCTTGATCCTGTAGACTTGATCCTTCTACTCCTAAGCCTCATTATCCTGCTCAACCTTGGAATCAATGTGATAATTCTGGTCAGGGATGGGCCCTGGTCACAAGCTACCTGGGCTTCTAGACAAGGGTGGATACTGGGAGGGTGGGAGAGAGGCCCCTAGCTAGGGGAGCCTGATGATTGGGAGAGAGGAGAGGAAACAGGGCGGGGATCAGGGGCCAGGGGCCTGGGTCTTTATTAAACAATAATAGCCTTAACACAATATGCTTTCACACCCATTATCTTCTTTGACCCTCGACCCCCACCACTATCCCTCAGATCTGGCACAGTCTCACGAGGTCCCTACAGAGAACATGTGATTTCTTTCAACCTAAAGGTGAGTGTGAGGTCTGGGGAGAGACCCTGATTTCCTTCCTTTTTGTCCTCTGACACTCCCAGCCCCGTTACCTGCCTGCTTCCATTCTAAAAGGGACTCAGGTGTCTGGCCCTATGCCCCCATAGCCTACACAATTACTCCCCACAGATGACCTGTGTATTTCACTATCCAGCCCCCCTTCCCAACTTCGCTGCCCTTACCCTATTCCCAATAGGAAAGAAGCCTCAGCCTTCCATTAAGAAGCCAACAGAGGTCCCAACTCTGTGCATCCACTGTACCTTTGACCCCGTGGCTCTAAATGTGGCCCACCCTGTATCCAACCGACATCGCTGCCTCCGTCAGCACTTAGGAAGTTGCCATGGCTGGGGAAGCCAACGGGGAAGCCGCCATAGCCGTCGACACCGTGGCCGCCAACGCCATCTTCAATACCATCACCACCCTCGAACACCTTTCCCTTCTCCCTCACCTGCAACCTCACCCACTCCCTTCTGTCACCAAGAAACCTGGGACACAGACTTAGAAGACAATAACCAACAGTCCAACTACCAGCAGAGGTGGGACACAACTTCTCATCCTGGAAATATCAGGCATTACAGGGCATACTGGCGCAACTGTTATTATCCAAGGGGACCAAATCCCTCTCCTCAAGACCTGAAGGCTCCCAAAAGGGTGGAAGCAAAATCTGAGTTGAGACTAGAGACTTATTTTCAGGCATCTCCAAACAGCTGGCCTCAGAATCTAAAAGAGAACATGGAATCTGGCCCAATCCCCAGCTCCCCACAATTCACACACAGGTTCCCTCCCAACTCATCTTGGATGCCTGGCACCCACAACCCTGTTCCTTCAGGTGGCCAGATTTTTTATGATGGCTGGGAGCTGAGACAAAGATTCCGAGATGGGAACAAGGGGGCTGATGTCCCCAAGTCTCCCCAGTCTGTACCTCGAAGCTCTGAGCCCCATAGCTATGCTGAAAATGTTGTACCTAGACAGTCTGTGCGGCGCACCACAGTGCCCCTCATCTCAGCGCACATCCCCCTAAATCGTACCCACGTCTCAGCAGGACATTTGCCCTTAAGCAGCCGGGAAAGGCCAGAGATAAAACGATGTGATGGAGAGCACAGAGAGACATTGCCCGCCCGGACTTCAACGGGCTCACCCCCTTTCTTCAATAGACTCCCCAACCATGAGACAAAAAACCACTATGGCTCTGCCCCAAATGAAAACCTGATACCTGATACCCAGCCCTTGTCCTATGTCTCGGTACGTATGCCAGCCAGAGTTCCAGCCCCTGACTCGAGCCGTGCACCTGCCTTCATCCCCCTTAGGAGAAGCCCAGGGGGCCTCACCCACTACCACGTGTATGATAGCCAGGAGCTGAAGCGGCAAATTCAGGAAGGACATGGGCGTCGAGGTGAGGCCTTTTCCTGCTCCCCTGACACACTCCGCATGGGTCCTTCCTCATCCTGGCACTCTCTACACAGAAAAAAGGCTGGGAGGCTGAATTGAAAACCTTGAGGACAGCTGACGCATGTAAGAAGAGACTGTCAGAGATGGAGTGGGAAATAAAGAGGCCAACAGGGATTGCATGCTTCCATCTTTGGTAGGGAAGGTCAAGAGACCCTGGCTAGGAAGTCTGGTAGGTGTTGTTCCCAAGACCTGACTCCTCTACCCCCCTACCCCACAGCCCACAGGTTTCCATCCCTCTAGCCAGGGTTACTAAGTCAAATGATAGGGAGGCAAGGCAATGTTCCCTGCCAATAAGACAATAATTTCTTACCTGATCACCCGAACTGGCCAAGAGTGATACCCTAGGGCCCCATCACCCTTCCCTTCCTCCTTGGAGTCTGTCCTCCAGTGTATCTAGAGGACCCCCATCAACTCTTTGCTCCTTCCCTCTGCCTCCACTAGAGACTGTATACGTCTACTGGGGTTGTAGGAGATGGTGTTCCCAGGGCTCAGTGTTGTCTTATAGGGAGACCTGAGGCCTAGACCCTTCAAGATTAAGTTATAACAGAAACCAGGAGACTTCTCCTACCCATTAGTTTAGATACTGACTCTGGCACCCAAACCTGGATAGGCCAACCAAAACATCTAGTACTAGTTTAAGAACTCCAGGCAGCACAGTTTAAAGAATATGTATGGGAGATCAGGTTTCTGGTCTCAGTTCTGCCCCTAGGAACTCTGTGACCTTCAGCAAGCCACTGAACCTCAGTTCTCCTCACCTGTAAAATGAAGGAGTTGAACTAAATAGGGCCTCAAGTCCCTTCCACCTTTGACATTCTATGTTCTGTGGTTCTATAATTGCTTATTTGAATGAATGAGTCAGCCCAGAAGCCCTGGTAGGAGCTGCTGCTTTTGGAACTAACTGCTAAGGAACTGGAGGCCCTAGGAGCCTAAAACCAAGGGAGGCCTGACGTGGGCTCCCTTTATTCATCTCCCACTCTCATTGTGACCCTTCCCATTGTGACCCGGTGCTTCCCCATCTCCTGCCACAGGAACCTCAACTCCCAGAGTATGCGGGCAGGGCTGGGGGCTGGGGTACCCCAGGAGGCTCTGGGACCCCCAACGTGGGCAAGCAAGTCCTGCAAGTGGGCCCAAGTATACTCAAGACCCAACCCCAGGAAGTGCCAGGACCTGGGGGACTCGATCCTGTTACTTCTGGGGAGCGTGATCCTGCTGAATGTTGGAACGAATGCGGTGATGCTGGTCAGGGAGGGCACAAGCCCAGTCTCTCAACCCTGTAGATAAAGCAGGGGCTGGGGTTAGGGAGGGGGAAGACAAGGAAATTGGCTACTGAGGGAGGCAGGATACCTGGGGTCCCTTGAGGGGAGTAGGGGGTAGAGGTGGGGATAACAAAAATGGGAACTGGAAGGCGTATAGATGTTTGAGCCTGGAGGTTCAGTCACCTGGATTTACTCTTGTTCACTCTATCCTCTATCCTCTTCCTCCCTAAACCCCCAGCTCTGGTGCCATTTGAAAGCCTCCCTCCGAATACTGCTCCATCACTTTTGGAAAAAATGTGAGTGTGGGGCCTAGGGAGGCACCCTGAATTTATTCGCCTTGTCCTCTATCCTTCCCCTCCTCCCCTTTCCTACAATGACCCAAATTCCCCTTAAAAACTAAGGCTTCACCTTCCCCATCTCCAACTTCTCTCTTCTCCCCTCTCTCAGACCATCAACAATGCCACTCAACATGCATCTGCTGTACCATGGACCCCAAGAGCCTAATCTCCCGGGGCTCTCCCCACACCCATCAGCATCAAACCTGCCTGATGGGTCCTTCTCACAGCCTGGAATGGGCCCCAGACACAGATGATGACAAGGTCTCCCAGTGCCGATGGCTGCCGTCCCAATGTGGCCACTCTGGAGACCCAATGATCTCCCATGGACCATGGAGGCAGGGAAAAGGATTGATGCCCAAGGCAGGAAAGTTTTCCCATTCTCAGTCTTCTGGAGTTAGTACCACCTCGCTCCTTCGCTCTGAGACCCTTTTCTACCTTGGCCAAAAGCCTCAAAGCTCAAGGAACAGTGAGGATATAGAGTCCCAATCTGCCAGAGATATTCAGAAGCCATGCCAGGTTTTCCTCTCTCCCTTCCCTGTTCTTCATCCCCGAGCTGGCCATGTGGTATATGATGCCAGGAAGACGAAAGGCCCAAACTGCCAGGTGGGAGGATATGTGGAAGCTTTGTCCCTTTCCACATGGAGAGGCTCCCTACAAGAGCTCAGTGAAAAGGGCCAAAATCTCATCTCCCAGACCCTGGAGAGGGCCCCCAATCTGCCCACTTTGCCTGTTGACCACTCTGTGGAGTATATAGAGTACAGGAAGCAGACAGTCAGCTTTCCTGAAGGAAGGAACCAGGGCACACTCTCCTGCAAATCCAAATCCCAAATTGATAAGGGTTATTCTGAGAGGAAGATGTTACTTCCCTCAAATTCTGCCTGTTTACAGCCCTCTGACTACCCTGCTTTTCCCTACAGTAGTTCTACCTCTTCCCAGTCACCCTGTCCTTCTGAAATCCCCTTACCTGACCAGATTGCATTGCACCAACAGCAGCCTTCAAAGGTTCTTAAAGAACCTCTCAAAGTTTCAAAGGGTGAGATGGCTTGTGATATACAGAAACTACCAGAGGTCTCCACTTTCACTCAGACCCATCACCTCCAAGGATGGAACCAAAATTGGGTGTACAAGTCTCTGGAAATGTCCACACAGAATCGGCCATCCTTCCATCAGATGCCTCCGAGTAAGGGATCTGGTTTGGAGACAGGTCATGTGGTCTTTGATGCCAGGCAGCTCAGACTAAACAAGGAATATGCCAGAGGCTATGTCCTCAGGGCTTCCTGTGGCCCTAAAACCCTCTCTGACTGTTCCAGGGAAAGACAGAGGGAAGACTTGGAATACTAGTCCATGACAAAGACTTGGGGGAAAGCTCGGCAATAAAGGGACAGGTATAAAAAGGAAAAAGAATTGCATGGTGGTATTCAGGGTCCAGTCAAGTCCCAAACCTGATCTCTGAGGTAACTGCCCTTTCTTACCTCCATCTTATTTAGATCCTCTTAGGCAGCCAAAAGGCCTCTAGAACCTCTAGAACTCTATGGGCGGGGAAGGTGGCACAGAGATGGAAGACAGAGGATGACAGGATTTGGAACTGGAAGGGACTTACCGATCAATTTGCTCCAACTTTCTGATTTTAATGAGGAAACTGAGGCTCAATGACTGTCCAAGGTCATCCATGTAAGTAAGTAGCAGAGCCAAGATTTCAAAATGGTTCTTACTGATCTCAAATCCAAATCAATTGGGTTGGACTAGAAAGCCACTGAGGTCCCTTCCAGCTCTCAAATTCTGTGATTGTGTGAAATACAATGCTCTTTCAACTGCATAGATTATCCTCCAATAAGGCCCCACGAATCCGAGGTCTGGGTATTGCTCTACCATAAAAATACAGCCCACAGACCACCATAAATCTGGATACTATCAGTCTTCAGTTCTAGCCCCGCACTTGTCAAGAAGCTCCAGGACTTCCTCTCCCCTTTCCCAATTCTGGACTTGGACCGCTTTGTCTGAGGCAGGATCCTTCAGCTTCCATCCACATTTTCCTTAGGCGCTCCAGCTTAGCTGTGAGGCTGAGAGAGGAGAAAGATGCTTCCCCAGAAATGACACTGAGAGAGCCCTGTGAACCCTTCCTTCGAGGTCAGCTAGGTGGTTCAGTGGTTAGAGAACCGGGCTGGGAGTCAGTAAGACCTAAGTGCAAATCTGGCCTCGGATATTTATTAGCTGTGTGGCCATGGGCAAGTCACTTGACCTCTGTCTCAATTTGTAAAATGGGGATAATAACCTACCTCACAGGGTTGTTGGGAGAATCAAATGAGCTACTATTTGAAAAGCACTTAGCACAGTTCCTGGCACTTAGTAGGTACTTAATAAGTGATTGTTCCCTTCCCCCTTCATCTTCCCCCAGGACAGCAGAGTGTTCACCTGGATACTTAGACCCACAACAGAAGCCTTTTTAACTTTGACTGAAATGCCTATTTAATCTTTAGCAGCAGCCTCTTCCCCCATAAAACATAGTACAAAAATCTCCGGATTCTGGAATCAGAAGGACCTGAGTTAAAATCCAACCTCTTTGTTCAACTTTGGGCAAGTCACTTTCCCTACTTGTAAAAGGAGAGGTAGATTATGGTCTCCTTTGTCTTTTCTAATTATAAATCCTATGATGCACATTATAGAACCAAATCTGGCCTTAGCCAGAGGGTTTGCTCTAAACTGTCGGTGTCTGGCTCGGAATCTGGAGTCCCTGGAGTCTGAAAGCAGAGGGAATCAAGTGATGCTCCTTGTCAATCAGTCGTTTATTAAGTACCACGCACTCTGCTAAGTGCTAGGAATACAAAGAAAGGCAAAACAGTCCTTACCATCAAGAAGCATCCATTCTAGCGGGGAGACAACACACAAATAACTAGGTACATACAAGATATGTTGTACAGAGAAAAGAGAAGGTAAGAGGGGTGTGGAAAGTACCAACAGCTGGGCACCCCCACCCCCACTGCAATAGTAAGGTGAGATTTGAGTGGTCTTGAAAACAATGGTGATTTTCCTTTGTTGGGGTTCCCTTCATCTTGTCCTTGTTCTCCCATTTGCCGAGTCCTGCCATCATCCTCCCATTTTCTCAGTGCCAGGAGCTTACTCCTTACAAGCCTTGCCTCTTAAATTTGTGATGTTAATTTGAACTGTTCATTTAGACTTCTGGTCATCTGTGGTGAACATCGATTTCTGCTTCAACGATACAGTGCCTGGTTCCCCTCCCCTCCGCCCCATTAAGGTCCTAGTCTTGGAGTTCTGAACTCTGACTGACCTCATCCTCTCCTCTGGGCATATTATGGTCCTGACCTTTCCCATCTGGTCTAATGCAGCTCTAACCCAAGCCCTAGTTATTTTAACAGACACTTGCCTTTTTGTCAAAGCATTTGGAGCTCAAAGGGACCCATTTTGGGGGATTTCTAGTGTGGCAATT